CGGGTGTGGCTGTGTGTGTCCTTGTGCTGGGGCTGCGGCTCCAGAGCTGCTCGGCTCCCAGAGCTGCCACCAACCCGATGCCGGGGCAGCCCTGGCTCTGCCTCCCTCCCTCCCTCCGCAGCCTGTGCCCCCGCTGGGGGTGTGAGCTCCCCGTGACACGGCACACGCCACGGGTGCGGGTGTTCCCCGGGGCAGGGGAATCGCTGCCCGCACTCCCCGCACGGCTTTCCCGGGGCACCGAGCGGGGCGGACGCGGCAGCTCTGGGCATTCCCGGTGGAAGGCTCTGGGTTACAGCTTTCGAGGGGGGTTGTTCCCGACGGTGGGATCATTCCTAAAAAAATGTCAGAATGTGGCTCAAAAGTGTCGTGGTGTCTCCATGTCACCACCCCCGCTGTGCACGGGCGCCCATCCATGCCCTGCCCCGCTCCTCCTCCTCACGCCACCCGCAACCACATTGGAGCTGCATTGGTCCCATCTCCAGCCCTGGTTTTCCATAGGCTCCCGTGTTTTGCCTCCTCCCCAGATGCTGAGTTGCACGGACACGTGTGGCAAAGCACGATTCCCCCCCGCATGGCTCTGCAGTCCCTCCCGCGTGTGCGGGTCCCTGGCCACGCATGCAGCTTGCACGCACCCCCCGAGCCATCGCAGGAAGGTGCCAGCACAGAAACCATGGACAGACCGCGTGTCTGACACCACCAGGTCTTCAGGGGTGCCTGGTTTGGGGCCGGCCCCTGCAGCAGCAGAACCCCCACGTGCTGGGTGCCTGGACCTGACTTGCCCCACGCCTTGGCAGCAGCGTGTGGAGCTGTAAAACAAGCCCTGACAAACATAACCTGTTCTGGGACTGTGGAAGAAAGCTTTGAAGTTGCTGCTTCCTGGAAATAGCTCTGTTTTCCTATGTGTCATGGTGATGTTCCCGTATTTGTTCTTCCCTGGTCATCCCCCAAGCAGCTACAGCCGTGGCAGACACTGGCACCACAGCAGGGGCACCAGGGTGTCCTGCCCTTCAGTCCCCTGGCTTTGTCCAAGTTCCACACTGAAAGGAAACTTTATGCACCTTAGTTCCTTTCCAGTCATCTTTTTTTTTTTATGTAACATGTGCTCCTTTTTTATTGCCACACTTAACAAGTTGTTGAGCTGTATTTACAATATGCTGATTGTAGCTGCCCTCTATTAGGTCCAGCCTACATACCCTCCCCAATTAATTTTCAGGTTTTCTGTTTCATTTTGGGCACGGGTATTTCCTTTATAAAACCTGCATCACACCCTGGTATTTGCTGCTGCCTCCCTTGCAGGAGCCCTCTGAACCTGCATTGTGGACCAGTCATTGCTGAGGAACCACAAAGAATGCCAGGGTGAAATGATCCGGAGCGATGGCATTTCCAGTCCTCTTTGGATTCTTTCAAAAGAATTTATTTATTTATGCATTTATTTATTTATTTTTCCAGAGTTAAATTGGTTATTAATTTCAGAACATAAAAGCCAAGGAGATTTGGCACCAGTTTCAGCCACAGTTTTAACCTATTAAACCTTTATTGCGTCTAAGAAGGTTTCTGACTGGAATGAGGTTTGGGGGAACTGTGCCCATTTCCCCCTGGTGTGATGCTGCCCTCACCACTGCCTGCCCAACCTCTCCTGTTAACTGACTTTTGCCCATTAATTCAAAGGAAGTTTGTGCTGGATGGATTGGATTTGATCTCCTCAAGCTTCCTTTAAACCAGAGATGGTGAAAGTTTAGGGCTTGTTGTGGGGCTAATCCCGAAGCTGAAGTCAAAGAAAGTCCTTCCTGTGGGCACACCCTGGCTAACGTGGCTCATGTCCTGGCCTTGATGGAGGTGGTGGCTCAGTGTGGCTGATCCTGCCCGGGATGCAGTGTGTGCCAAAGGCACCAGGGGCAGCAGGACCAGCCCCACTTCACCCTGCCACCACCTCCACAGAGCACCCCAGGGGACACAGAGGGACAGCTGGTCACAGGGCCAGGCAGTGATGGACAGTCCTCAGCTGCCAGGAGACCAACCCAAAATCTTGGCTTTAATTACAGTAGAACTGGGAGGTGTGGGAAAGCAGGCGAGAGCAGAATCCAGGTTCCTTCCTTCTTATTTTTCCTTATTCAGCTCAGTTTCATCACTCAACCTCTCCTCTTTCATTAAGGGAAATGTGAAGCTGACTGAGATCTCCCAGCCAGCCATGCTGGGGTGCAGGTGGCAGTGGGTGGCAGGATGGGGTGCTGGGGGCTGGAAAGCTGCCAGGAGAGTCACTGAGTCTCTCAGCCACGCTCTCCTCTTCTCTCTCCCTTCCTTGTCTCCCAGTGCCCATCCCCTCCAAGGCCAATGGCACCACCATTCCCACCCTGTCCATGAACAAAGATGGCCTGATCGGAGGGGTGACGAATCCCAACGAGGTCTTCTGCTCCGTGCCTGGCCGCCTCTCCCTGCTCAGCTCCACCTCCAAGTACAAGGTGACGGTCGGGGAGGTGCAGAGGAGGCTCTCACCCCCCGAGTGTCTCAACGCCTCCCTCCTGGGAGGGGTCCTCCGCAGGTAAGCTGCTCCCCAGAGCCCTGGCACAGCCCTGGGACCAGTGCCCAAGTGCAGGGCACTGGGCAGGCTTTGTCTTCAGCCCCAGCTCTTGCCTCTCCCTTTAAAAGAGATGAGAAATTCTGGTGTGGGGGGTATCGGGGGAGAGCATTTCTGTTGCTATTTCTCCATTGCTTTGTAAGTTGCAGTTGTTTTAACATTAACTACATTACAGGGGTGTTTTTCCCCTCCTTGTTTTGTCTTTTCAGAGCAAAATCAAAAAACGGGGGTCGGTGTTTAAGGGAAAGGTTAGAGAAAATTGGATTAAACCTGCCTGCAGGAAGGCGCAAAGCGGCCAACGTCACCCTGCTGACCTCCCTGGTGGAAGGTAAGAGTCCTCAGCAGAGGATGGGACTGCTGAAACTTCGGTCCCCTTCACTTGCAGCTTCCCACAAAGAAGAACACTGGAAGCCAAGCTTGCAGTGGCCACCACTGACTGGGACTGGAAGCAGCCCCTGTCAGTCCCCACACTGAGCCAGGCATGTTTGTCTGCTGAAACTCAGACATTTCTGTCTGACCAGTCATAGCCCCTGGGAACAGGCACCCACAGCTTCCTTCAGGCTGCATCCAAATGCACTGTTCACTTCTGTGAATGAGTTCTACAAATGCTTAGTCAGGTCCACAGAAACTAAATACAGAAAAACTGGAATAAACCTGCCCAGGGTTCAGCAGCTGTTCTGTAGCACCCAGGACACCCTTGGGCAGCATCGACCTGTGGTGTCCAGGCTCCATCACACACTCAGGCCCGTGTCTTGTCTCCCATAAGGAGGGGATGTCCTGTATCCAAGTCCTGGCCTCCCCCCACAGGACAGCAGGGGACAAGTGGGACATCAAGGAGTTGCCACAGAGCCCTGAGCTCTTGCAAGTGGAGGCAAAGTTTGTATTAGCCATCTCAGGTGGTGGTCTTGAGGGCTGAGTGTGAAGAAGTGCTGAAGGCAGCAGAGCCTTGGCAGCCAGGATGCCCCCCGACCCGGGAGGTGTCCCTGCTTAAAGCCCTTTCAAGTTCTTTAAAGTTCATTTGCTCCCCTCCTACTTTCTGGAAATGATGTCTCCACTGCATCTTGGGGGAAAGGAACATGGGGCACAAACAAATGCAGGGACAGCTCCGAGTCCCTTCCAGCTTTGGAATCCATTGTGTCTGCAGCCAGCGTTGGAGGCAGCTGCCTGCAGTTTCTGAATAGAAAATCATCCCCATTGTTGCCAGCAAATTAAATGACCCACTTCATTAGATGGAGGTTGTTTCTGAGGGCAGTTGGTTCGTGCTGAATGAAAGGCTGATTTCCATTAAGAGAAAAGAAAGAAAAGAATGAAAGAAAGAAAGAAAGGAAGGGAAAATGTACATTTTGATTTCAGGTGGCTGCTGATGTTCTGGTTACTGCTGCCCATAGTAAGAGTGGTGCCATGTGTGCCTGATGGACACAGTGTCCTCCTGCACACGTGTCCCAGCACAGGGAGATGTCACATCCTGAGGAAGGGTCATTACCCTGCACACAGAGCTGGCTTGTGCCCCCATGCCCCAGGCACCTTCTTTCTTTGACATTTGCTGTCTTGGTTTAATTTGTTTCCTCCCTTCTGCCTTCCCAACGTCTGTTAATTAAAAAAAAACCAACAACAAACCTTTCTGATTGTTTTGTAACATTTTAACTTATTTGCTCTTTCTTCAGAGGAGGAGAAAAAGAGGAAAGTATTATTGTTATATGGGAAGCACAGACACTTCCCCATAACTTGGCTTCACAGACTGAGTTCCAGGAGCTGGGGGGCCTGTGATGGGATCTAGGTTAATGCTGTCAGGATGGATGGCCTAATACGTGTGAGCAGCAGGGGGCAAGTCAAATTAGCTCTGTCTGCCTGGCCGGGATTTCGGGTGTTGGGCATGATCAATTGCCATCAGCTCTGATTATTTCCATGGGGACGCCTGGAGATGGATCAATTCCATCAATGGGTGGGCATTTCCACGGGGTGATGGATACGCTGCCCATGCGTCCAGCCCGAGGGCTCCTGCTGGCTGTGGGAAGATGCAAACCCCTTCCTTCTGTCTTTCACGTCCCTGCTTTGTTGGGCAGTCACTGGGCTAAGGGCACTTTTTCACCCTCCAGCCCTCAGCTCTATTTGGTGAGGCCAAGCAGAATATTTGGGAAGAAGCAGGGGGAGAAAGATACAGGATGGGACACGTCCAGGTGAGACACACCTGAGGGCCCCCGGGTGGCAGCTGAGCCGGGAGAGCTCAGCCCTGGCAGAAATACCCCCCATCACGGCTGCAGGAGGGGCTGCCCTGTCACACAGCATGTCCGTCTGTCTGCTCCTAGGTGAAGCTGTTCACCTGGCTCGGGATTTTGGGTACGTGTGTGAGACGGAGTTCCCAGCCAAGGAGGCAGCCGAGTACCTGTGCCGACAGCACTCCGACCCCGCGGAGCTCCACACCAGGAAAAACATGCTGCTGGCTACCAAGTGAGTACAGGTGGCAACCAGCCACTCACTGCCCGCAGCCTGCAAGGGCAGCGTCAGCCCCAGAGCTCACTGTTCCTTGGGAGGAGAAGGTCCCGGGGGCTGCACACGGGGCTGGAGGCAGCTCAGCACGGTGAGCTGGGCACGGCTGGAGGGCTCTGTGCTCCTGCACTGGGGAGGTTCACCCATCCCTCCGGAGTGGCTCTGCCAGACCTGCCCCCGGCAGCCGCCAGCACTGCCAGCAGGTTTGACCCGGGCTGGAGCTGAAAAAACCAGGCCTGGGAGGCAGCTGCTCAGGCAGGGAGCAGGAAAAGAGCCCCCAGACCCCCGCTATCCCCACCGCTTCCCCGCAGCCCTTACAGTGACGCGGCCCTTTCTCTTCCAGGCAAATTTGCAAAGAGTTTGCAGACTTGATAGCCCAGGACCGGTCGCCGCTGGGGAACAGCCGCCCCTCCCTCATCCTGGAGCCCGGAGTCCAGAGCTGCTTGACCCACTTCAGCCTGATCACCCACGGCTTCGGGGGCCCGGCCATCTGTGCAGCGCTCACCGCCTTCCAGAACTACCTGGTGGAGTCCCTGAAGGGGCTGGATAAAATGTTCCTGAACAGCACGGGGAACGGGCACACGGCCGGGGACTCCAAAGCGTCAGAAAAAGAAGTGAAGCATCGGAAATAACGCGCTGCCCCCCCGGGAGGCTGAACAGCCCCGGGGTGACACCACCCAGGGCACCTTGTTCTGAACTGCAACGTTCAAACTCGGGATGAAACTCATAAAGCAATGAAAAGACAAAAACAACAACAACAAACACAAACAACAAAAAAAAAGGAAAAGATTTGAAGAATTGAAGAAGAAAAGTCCAACGGGCACAGCGAGAGTGAGAAAACGGGGCAGGTTAATGGCTTTTGCCTTTTTTTTAAAATAAAAACCAACAAACAAACACCAACAAACACCAACTGTGGATGCAGGAAGCCAAGTCATGTGCAATTTTATTTTGTTTCTTTTTTTTTTTTTTTTAAAACCCGCAGTGAAATCTTGACGAGCTCCAGGAATTTGTTCCGACTGAAAAACTGAGAAGAGCAAAAACTTCACCAATGCAGGAACCAGCGGCAGGAGCAGCAGGGGGCAGGGGGCTGGATCACTGCCTGAACCGGGATTTATCAGCTGGTTTTGACAGGCAAACACCCAGGAAACCTTCCGACTTCCCCACCTGCAGCCCAATCCTAAAGCCACGGGAAAATCGCCAGCAGAGCTGCTCGGGAGTTCGAGCAGTTTCAGACTTCGTTTACAGTTTTCAAACTGAGAGTCAAGGTGGATTTTCCCCCGGGCTGAGGAGCCCTGAGCTGCACCACGAGGGGGGAACCACCCCCGTTCCCAAGGGTTCCCAAGGCAGGAGCCTTCCCGACTGCTGCGGGCACAGCTGGGGATAGAGCAGGTTAAGTTAAACCCAGGACTAATTAAAACTCCACAACCTACAGATAACAGCACACACGTTTCTAAAACTAATAATAATTAATGAAGCACAAGGAGCAGAACTTGAACCAGGCCAAACTGAACTATTCTAAATCTGTATATATTTATTTATGTGTAATTAAAATCTGAAAGTTTTAACATGTCCAGTGCAAGTTATTTATATCAAATTGAGTTGGGATTTTTGTTCCGTCGTTTTTTTGTTTTGGGGTTTTTTTGGGTTGTTTTGGTTTGGGGTTTTTTTTATTTTTATTTTTTTGAAAGAGGAAAGTCTTTGGATTTTCTACCATTAGAAATGGGAATGAAGTTCTGGATACACAAAAATGTAGCATGGACAAGATAGGCTGTGATGATAATGACTATAGAAGTTCTGCAGGATTTTGTACTTGCTGTTGTTTCTCTTGATGCTGCAATAGTTGTACAACACCCACACCACAGTGTCATCCTCATTACCTTAATAAACCTCTTTTTATTGGAAGAAAGCACCTCCATCGTCTTTGTGACCAGGGATCCTTCTGCCTCTGTGGTTGTACCTTGAAATATTCAATAGATTTTAAACCAGATACCCTCCGGTTTGATGGCTGAGGTTTGGCTGATCTGAGCAGTCAGGAGTAGAGGGCTGAGGGAATAACAGGAGCTGGGGGTAATTCCCTGATCTCCCAGGCCCTGCCAGCCCAGCTGGGAATGTTGGGATGAAGAGTGAGATGATGTGTGTGCAGATGGTTCAGAACCACTCGGGGTAGTCAAATCTAAACCTGTCTGTGAAGAGCTGCAGAAGGATCTCATGCTGTCAGGTGATAAATCAGGAGATAAAATAAACCTGCTCATCTACATGCAGTGATGCTTTTTAAAGGAGCTGCTCTGTTTGAGGCATCGTTAAGGACAGGACTCTGCAAACAGGCACCTCGTACCCACAGGAGGCTGGAAGCACAAAGTGATGGGAACTGCTGGAAAAGGATTAATAAAGCAGGGAAGAGATGACAGTGTGTGACACAGGTGCTTGTGTGGTCTGGGCAGCATGGCTGGCAAAGCCCTGGAGAAAAACAGCCAGGGAGACCTCAGGTGGGAATGGGCTCCTGGGCAAGGAAGGAGCAAGGGGTTAGAGCTGCACCCCTGGCAAAGGGCAGGAGCAGGATGGGCCAGAGGTGTGGAACACAGTGGTGTAAAAGAACTCAATCAGGGAATGAGGACAGTGAAGCTGGAGGCAGAGCAGTGAGTGGGAAGGGTGGGATAGTCAGTAAGCAGGTTAAAATGGAGGAACAGAAGGTGGGTCAGAAGCTGGTGCTTCATGGAAGCAGCTGTGTAAATAGCTTTGCCACAGTGCAAGAGTGATTTTAGAGACCATCTTTGCAGTTTTCCCCACACACCCAATGTTGCTTGTCACAGGTAGAGACTGGGCAGGGACACGTTACACTGGACCTTTCCTCAGAGTTATACCCATCAGTTTTCCTTGGGGGTTACAGAATAGGCTGATGATAACAGAGAAATAAGGTCCCCAAAAGGACCACATGCTTCCAGAGGGATCTCCCTTTTTAAAAAGTGTGAAAGGAAATATTTTACATACTAACATAATTTGTGGGAATGGCTCAAAGTCAGAAACTTGCATCTAAATATTCCCTTCAAAAGCTTAGGAATGCATTTCAATTGGGAATCAGGTTGGAAATGTCCCTTGGTATGAAGTTTGTGAAAGCAAAGACCTAAATTACAGGCTCTGCAGGTCTGGTTTTACTTTGGACCTTCCCAAAGGAAGATCCAGGAAACAAGGAGGAGCCAGGGAGCAGCATGGAAATACTACAGACACATTAGAGGCTTCTTTACACTTCAAAGCTGTTTTGGGTAATGCAGGGTGTGAGCTGAAAGCACCAAACATATTCCTATTCAAAATGATGCCAAAATAGGAGTGCCCTGTTCTGCATCAGCATAACCCATGTTTAAAATGGGTTATGGTAAAGGAAAGTAAGGTGCTTTTGTGCTAGAATACAGGTTTCCCTGCATGGAATTCTTTAGGCTAACTCCTGCAATAATTCAATTTGCAGACGTCCCGTGGTGCCCGGGATCAGAGAAGAGCAATTACACAACTCCATGATGAAAGTGAGTGTGTGCACAGTGTGATGCTCAGGCGTGAAATATCATCTCATCATGTAATCATGCCATGAAAGCCTGGCTGGGCTGGAGCACTCGCTGAATACCAAGGAATTCTCAGCCCCAGCAGCAACCAGGAGGTCCTGCAGCGGTGACACATCATGGCCATCGGGTGGAAAAATACCTCCCTCCTCATTTCCCTCTCTGGGTAACTGCAAGGCTGCTGAATGTTTTATGAGGAACAGTTTGGTGCCTGAAAGACCAGGATGGCACCCATTACCTTGTAATTGGGAGGAAGCTGGATGATTAGGATTCACTTGTTGATTCTGCCCCGAATGCTCAAGACCGATGATGTCGCATCACGTAGGATCAACTTTCTCCACATGGTCAGGCCTCCACTTCCCAAGATTTTGGACACCCTCATTTCAGCAGGCCCACAGATATGCCCAAGAAGAGCAGAGGTTTCAGAGGCTGTAGCAGGCCAATTATATTTTGCCCGGAGTTAGTACTAGAGTTCCCCTCCCAGCTCACCATCCAACAAGGGATCCCCTGATGTTCTCTTTGCCTTTTCATCCTAAGAGGAAAAAAAAAGGCATTTTACACAATTCAGGGCTCAGCCCTGATATAAATTCCCACACTGATTACAAATATTATCGTGGGAAAATACATGGGATTGTGTCTAAGAGCAAAAATAGATTCAGACACATGGTTTCTGTGCTTGTCATGAAACACTCTGGAATTTCAATCCTAAAGGGAAATTGGAAAAAAGAAAAGTCCTTTTTGAGTGAATAAGAAGTCCAGGGAAACCACATGACAATCATTGATAAGTGAGAAAGAGTAAGAACATTAACAAAAACTCTTCATTCCCCAAGAGTCAGCTGTCCCAAGGGTAAACTGAGGTTAACATGGAACTGGGACTCTACACTTGCCATTAACACAAACAAGCAGAGGTTGTGTTGGCTTTGGATGGACGAAATAATTACCTTGAAGCAGGCTGCCTTAAAAGCAAGAGGGTAATAATAGCTCTCCCTCCTAAAACAACACAATAGACAAACTTGGCTGACCTGTAGTTAATGCATTCTTTCATATATGAGAGAGCCCATTAAATTCCAAACTTTACATACAGAGTCCCTGGATCCGCCCCACCAGGGAGCAAAAGAGGCTGTTCCTGTCAGTGCAACTGAATCACAACCCCAAAACCAAAACCAGGTTCAAATCAGGCTGTAAAACAAACGTGATTTCAAGGGTGAGGAAATGTTTGGTTCAGAGGGGATGGGCTGAGCAGGGTGTCACAGGCAGCACTTGGCCACGTCTGGGATTGTCCCAACAGGCTTTGGGAGAAACAGCCTTAGCCCAATCATTACACAGACTCTGGACACCCTGAGCCAGAAGGTATCATTTTGATTTTCCTGCCTGACCTCCTTTATATTCCAAAGAATTCCCACTGCAGCCACCTGAGCATGGCTGCATTTTCCACAGGGTACCATAAACAGCAGTAACAGTTCCAGACATGGAATATACACCCAAGCTTAGTCTCTGTAATCGTGGTGCTGAAGCATCCCAGGAACTGCTGAGGCAGGCAGCAAACCCTGCCATCATTTTATTCTGGATGATTCATCTGTTGGTTTGGTTTTTTTTTTAATCCTAACACCTTCAGATGTTTCTCATTTCATTCTTCTCAGCAGAGAACAGGCTAAAATTCTATCCCGACATTCAGAAGCGTTTCCCATAAGAACAGCTTCACTTTAGTAGCAAAGGTTATAGCCAAAGAAGATTTGCTAAATGGAGACAACTCAGCTTTTTTGGGGTGTGAAATGAGTTCAGAGAAAGATCAAGTTATTGCTGTGAGTCAAGAAGTTCTGCCCAGATGTGTCTGGATGCTCCAGTCTCCTCACGTGATGATGGGTTTGTCTGTGCAGAAGTGCCTTTCCTCTGTGTGCCAGGCCCTGTGCAAAGAGATCTTACCCCAGACTATTTCAGCAGACAAGGTGACAAAGGAGACATTTACCTGCCTCTTACAGAGACCAGATGAGACCCACAGAGACAGTGACTTGCAGAGGGACACGTGGGGAGTTTGGGAGAAAAGCTGGGACACAAACCCAGAGAATTCAGGTCTAGCACCCTAA